TGTTATTGAGGGGGGCAGTACTGAAAATATATACCCAATACAACCGGGATCACCCAGGATCCAAGCCAGTTTGCTGTGCAAGGTCAGCGCTTCGGTGGAGGACGTCGTTCCGGAGGCGCAGTTTACAAGCTTCGTGTTACAGTCCCCCTTAAGTAGATAGAATATAGGGGATATGGGGATCTTGTTATAATATACCCAAAGCCATGTTCTATCTACTTAAGGAGGACTATAGACTTACTGGAGGTTGGTAGAGAATAAGGGAATCTATTATACAAGGTTGGGGATTAGATTCCCCTATTCCCTAGTAAATCCCAGTAAGTTAGAAAGCCTAATGCCCTGAAGTGACGTGGCAGTTACCAGCTTGGAAGGGAAGGCCTTGCACGTCATGCGAGCAGCAGTTTATTTCGAAGTCCTTAGTCTCTACTAGAGAGTAAGAATATACTCGCCTTTCAGGTACGGCATTTTCTAACAAGGCAATGATTTAACGTGGTTCACTCCCCCCAAAAATGTTACTCAACGTTTTTTGCTTCCTAGCCCATCTGCTTGGCTGGCTTTGACCTGGCTCTTAGGACTTAAAGTTGTTGGGCTTCCTACTGATTATAGTAGGGATGAAAGTTTAACCCTGACCCTCTAAACCTAAACCCCCTAAACCCTAAAACCCTAAACACCTGCAGTCAGCTATAGTCCCCCTTAAGTAGATAGAATATGGGGGATATGGGGATCTTATTATGATATACCCAAAGCCATATTCTATCTACTTAAGGGGGACTCTAGGTCTGAGAACCCTTGGTTTTCCATGCCAGGATACACCAACGAAGAACGCTTCGGAGCCGGGGTGCCACAGCTGCTGCCTATCCCCTCCCCCAATTAACCTCTGGGAGTATGTGGGGGTTTCCCAAAATTAGGGATACCATTTTTTGGGGGTCCCCATAAGAAGGATTATAGTATGTTGAAGATTATATTGGGGTCCCCGTATTTTGGGAAACTACCATATGAGCTAGAGTCTAAACGCCTTAAAGGAGGTGATCTGGGGGTTGTATAGGGGAGTAAATGGAGGTTGTTAAGGGGGATACTAGGAGTTCAGACTATAGCTCATATGGTCACGGAAAAGAACGTGGAAACGACTTTAGAACATATCAGGGGCTAGGGGGATTTTGTAAACAGGGGCGGGCATTAGTAGGCATTTTGGACCATTTTGGACACGGGCTGTCAGTGCACCCAGCAGGTCACTAGCAACAGGGTCGCGTGCGAAGCTGGTGGGCCTCAAAGCCACAGCCATGAACGGAAAGGCCAGCTACCTTTGTCTGGGTCGCTGTTAAGGATCTTAATTCAAATTACCATATTGGGGAAACCATATTAGTTACTGTATCTATATATAATCATCCATTAGGGTAACTTTAAGTTAAGCTCCTTAACAACAACCCATCCAACCCAGTTGTTAGATTGAGGAAGCTGGGCTCACTCCTCGCATGAAGGTCGTGAAAATCGCTGAGTACGACAACAGCACGCAACGTTACACAGTCAAGCTGCCCGATGGCTCCATGCGCAAAGTGCAGGCTGCAGTCTTTGCTCAGTTCTATGTGATACTTTCCTAAGATAGGGGGACCCCAATATGGACTCCAAAATATTCTAATCCATATTATGGGGACCCCCCAAACAGAAACCCTCAATTTGGGGAAACCCCTAAGCCCTAAACCTTAAACCTTATATGACCCCTATGCCCTCATATATATCCCCTATATCCAACTTTAAAGGACCCTTGATTTGGCCGAACCTCCATATGGTAGTTCCCCAAAATAAGGGGAACCCAATGTAGATGGGAACCTGTGTGTGTGTGTGTGTGTTTTTGCTGTTTGG